CCTTCTTGGAGGTCTTCAGCCAGAGGCTGAATGATTGCTTGTTGGCTATATTACAGTGGCGATTCTTTTTCACGTATGGGTTAGACTAGGTGGCTGCTGAGATTGTTTTTTGATTCCCAAATTCTGTGATGCTGTGAGCTCAGATCCAGCCTCTGCTACTTGCTTATTAAATCTAAATATTACAAAATCCCCTCTTCGGCCTTCTCTTCTGCCAGATTTAGCGGTCTCAGTGCTTCCTTTGGTATCACAGTCTTTACCCTCTTAACCTTTGGTTGTCTCCCCTCCTCAGAAGTGATAGGTGGGTGGTATGTATACTCAGGCACTGTCCCCTTGGTGACAATGGCCTCCATTCCCTTGGCTGGATAGTGTTTGTGTGTGTGCCTCTTGTATTTTAACATTTACCAGTACATTCCCAAGTCCAGCAGTATCTATAATTGCAATTATATACAGGTTATGTGCTTCAAATTTATTCTTGCATATTATACACACATATGTGCATGTGTGTGTGAGAGGGAAGACATGTACACGTGTTGTCGTTCCAGTGATTGTGGGTCAAACAGAAAATTTACCCCAGGCTGGTCTAAGAGTCATCTGTACATAAAAGGAACCACCACCCTACAATGCAGATGTCCTGTTGCATACGGGGTATGTGCAGTTGTTTACATGAAGCTAGGGTGAGTTGCCATGGTGACAGCTAGCTTGGGGGAGCCTCTTATGCCTTAGAGACCCTGAATTAGCACACCCACCCCTCCAGTTCCCCAAAGCTGTTGCTCCATCTGTGCAGGGAGAAGCCTCCAGCACCAGCCAGGGGAAATGGAGGGAGTTACGGGAAGGCCTCTTACAGCCCTCAGACAAAGCCCCTTGGAGCTGTCCAGAAAGAAAAATAGTTTTACATCCCCTCTATTGGGTCATGCCTGCCCCCCACCTTCACCTCCCATGCTTGTGCTGAGTACTGAGAAAACTTGCTAGACAGAGGGAAGTTATATACTTCCCCCACCCCCAGTCCTAAAACCATTTGTCAGGAGTAGCCATAACCTTGGAAGGTGGTGGGGTGCGCCAGAGTGAAAGGGGAGGATAGGTCCCCAGCTCTTCCAAACTGCCCTTCCTTCTCATAGCCCTCAGGGGGCCTGATGGTCAGGTGAGGCAGAATAAAGTGCTATTTCCAGACTGTATTCTCAGGATTATAGCCTGAATCTTCCTAGCCATCCCGAGTGACCCCTCCCCATTATCCTCCACGAGCAGAGTTCCTGTTCCGGAGTTCCCATGGATCAAATTCAACCTTCTTTCCAGGTGAAAGATCAATTGTCATATCCAACCTGGCCACCAGATGTCGCTGCTGGGAGGGCCGCCAAAAATAGCTCTGCAGAAGTCCCAGATTTCAGCATCCCTCGTCTATGCCCATGTCCTGGGAGGAGAGACCAGATCCTAGGGTGAAAGGTTTCCCTCACCTGGAGTCCCTTTGCTCAGAATCTATATCTGTGGGACAGTTTGAAAGCAGCACTTCCTAATACTGATAGAATCAGATGGGAGGGAAGGGTGGGCATCATCCCAGATGCTAGGATGCAGTGTATTAAGGAATTAAGTTCCTGGGTGGGAATAGGGGGAGACAAGTGGGAAATTTCTTGGGAAGATATAAAAGGACCCCTCCTTCATGTTATATTCTCTTTTCTTTCTTTGGAGATAACTGCTGGACCTCTGAAAGGACATTACTGTTCTATAGCCTTCTTCCTAATCATCCAACTACAGCTAGAGCTCTGAAGTTAAAGTTTTTGTTTCATTTTGTTTGGGTGAGGGGTTGGGGGTGGGGCAGAACAAATCTGACAGATTCCAGAACAATCTGGACCTGTGATTGCATCAATGTTGGGAACTCCCATTATGGAGAATCTCTTCTTCTTCCCTCCCCCACCCCCCAATTACTTATGTAACTTATAGTCTTACAGAATAGCCTGGAGACCTGAAAAGTTAAGTAGCTTGCCCCAGGTTCACAAAGCTAAGACATATCAATGACAGAAATTCAATGTCCGGGTTTTTCCTGACTCTAAGGCCACTTTCTATCCCATGTCTCTCAAGTTAGAGCTTAGGATCACAGATTTAGGGCTGAAAAGAACACAAAATCATTTAGCCTTGCTCCTTTCAGTTTACAGATAAGCAAACCAAGGCAGAAAGACTGACTTCTTCAAGGTCCAAATTAATTCATCAGAAAATTTTAAGTGCGTAATTAATATATGCAAGGCATGGAGTCTTACTAAAGCCTGGAGCTCAGAGATAGTCCCAAGTAACCTTCTTAAACTTTATCCAACTAAAGGGTGAAGGTTAACTTCTCCCCTTTGCTTCTTTATGATATCTTCCTAACCAATAAAATAAGCAGGTTCTCTCTGCTCCCTGGGATTCTTGAGGAGAAGGGGAAGAGTGAATGTTATCTTCAACAGAAGAGAGGAAGAGTCACTGGGCTCTGGTTCCCTCCTTAGCCCACCAGCAAGAAAAATGCTGAGTGAGATTGCTGGATCCTGTCTTTGAATTTGAGTCATCTGGGAGTAAATAGCTTTCTTTGTAGGTCATTGTGTTCCAAGAATAAAGAAGGATCCCTGGGCCTGGACACTGAGCAACTCACCCAAGCTTTCTCTCCTTTCTCAGTTTATCTTTCTTAAATCAAAGGACTTCCTTCCTCCATCTTGCCCTGGAAGCTCCACACTGACAGTTGGGAATCATGAAAAGGGACCAAAAGGGCTGAGGATGACTGCAGGTGCTTTGATAAATGCCAGAAAGGGTGTTGAGATATTTGCACAGGCCCATCTCTGAACTCTCTGACCTCTTCCTGTCAAATCTGACCTTTTCTTCCCACCTGGGAAATATTGATTGGAGTCACTGGTATAATGAAATCAAAGTCTGAACAAATATGGTTTGTTTGCTGTATTATTAAAAACCCTTCTCTTCCTGACCTGGCTCTTAACCAGTAGGGCCTGACAAACTACCCCCCTCCCAGACACACTCATCATCCCCTGCTTCCTAACTGTCTCCAGCCTTTAGAGACATTTCTGTGGCATGGTGACCATGGTCTTGGACCCATTGTTTCACTGCCATGTACCCTACTCCTGAATGCCACATAACAATTGTACTAGAATACCAAGACCTCAGGCAGTTGGCAAAGGAGTCCATTATTGTCTCTTTTTTTTCCTTGCCTACCATCAGGGTGATCTAAAGAACTTCATCTGGAATGTCTAATGCTGGCTGATGAAGAACCGTATAGGATAACAGAATTTAATGCTAAAAGTAACTTAGAGATCATGTATTTCAACCCATCTTTTTATAGATGAATAAAATAAGGCCCAGAGAATATTAAAGTACTAGCCTAAGTGGGAGAAAGGAAGGCAGAGCAGATTTGGGTGTGGAGCTGAAATGTAGGAAAGGTGCCCTGGAGATCTTGGGAGAGGGAGTGGTCGCTGCCAGGACCTGGCTCCCTGCCCATCCCCACCCAACCCTCCTTCCAGCTGGAGAGACAGTCTAAGCAGCCTTTTGCCAGATCCCAGGTTTCAGTCTTGGCAAAGGGGGGAAAAAACCCAACTCTCGAAAGAATTCCAAAGTTTTCTCTTTTCCAGCTGAAATAACCCAACACTCCAGCTGAGTCTGTGGTGGGCCGAGTGGGCAGCTTCATTCATGAGGGATGAGGGAAGGAAAAAGAAGGGGAGAAGGTAGGGGGAGATTTCCTGGCATATCAGACCTCCTGGATTCTTCTCTGTGAAGTCATTCATGAAAACCTCTACCTCCTGGATTCCAGGGAGACATCATAAATTTGCTTCCACTAAGTGCTTGGAGATCCTTAGGTAAAAGCCTTTTGAGTTGTCAAATTCCCTTCTCTCTTGGGCCACTATAAAACAGAAGGGAGGAAGGATCTGCTGATTTGTTTGATACAAAAGGTTCTCCTTCTTGTAGAGTCCATTTAGGTCATAGATGTCATCCACCGTAGAGACAAGTAGGCAGATAAGATGACCTCAGGTAGGTTATTCTTGCCGAAGAATTCTACAGTAGCCAAATCTGCATTTCATTGTCATCAAGGGCACTGATTGTCCCTGGCCTTGGCCCAACACCCTTGGTCCCTAGTATCCATCCCATCGGCACCCTCTCAATCCCTGAACTGCCTCCTGGCCCTTCTATGAATTTGGTTTTTTGTGTGTTTGGTTGGTTGAGTTTTTTTTAGTTTTTTATTTTTAGGCAATTGGGGTTAAGTGACTTGCCCAGGGTCACACAGCTAGCAAGTGTCAAGTGTTTGGGCTGAGGCCGGGTTTGAACTCAGGTCCTCCTGACTTCAGGGCTGGTGCTCTATCCACTGCGCCACCTAGCTGCCCCCCTTCTGGCCCTTCTAAACCAACACTACCCTCCCCCCAAGATAAGTTAGAGCTATCAGGCCTGCTGGGTTCTCCTCCTGGCTCTGCTATTGTGCTATCAGGTTAATCAGAGAAACTTCTTTTAATCCTAATTAGCAGATGGAAGAACCCCACCTGATCTACCTCCCAGGTCCCCCATTGGGAGTGGCGCTTCTCCCTTCTGGCCAGCTGAGGCTCCAGATGTGCCCCCATCAGAATGACTGAGACTCAGAGATGGAGGGAGGGATGGTTGTTGAAGCTAATTTTAATTGGCACAAACCTTGGCAGAGTCCCTTGTTTGTAGGAAAAATTGCCCCAGAGGACAACAGCCAGGTACTCTCAGTATGAACATGGGAGTGGGGGAGGGGGTGGAAGCTCTGAGGGACAGAAGATTTCATTTTTATGGACCATCTTCCAGGGCTGTTGCACACACACACACACACACACACACACACACCAGGCCTGAGGGGAGGCAGCACTATCTCTGTCTTCACCAGTGGAGTCTCCCCAGTGATCTGGCATCCCAGTGATTTGTCCACCTTGCTTATCCTAGCCCTTGTCCTACTGAGTGGTGCCCCATAATCAAAGTCTCCCCTGTGGTCAATCTCCAAACTCATTCTGTCTCTTCCCTCTCTGCAGACCCGGAGTCCCAGAGAAAAAGAACAGTTCAAAATGTCTTGGACCTTCGACAGAACCTGGAGGAGACCATGTCTAGCCTAAGAGGTTCCCAGGTAACTCACAGGTAAGCCTTGGGTTGAGGAGATCTCCCTGGCTCCCTTACTCTCTTCCATCTCTGCCTCCTCCTCCATGGAACAACCCAGTGTCTCTCCAACTGTCTCCCAGATACAGGTACATGGCTCACCCATTGGTGCCCCAGGCTGGCCAGCTGCTGTTTCTCCTCGCCTTCTAGTTGGCCAGATAGTCTTTCACTAAGGCCCTTCCCTTCTAACTAAGATGTCCTTCACCATCCTCCTGCATTTGGCTCCTGGACCAGCACTGCCAGTGGACATCAGAGAGGGTCTTCTTGCTGTGCTTAACACAGCTTTACACTGGCATCATTTCCTGCTTGTGCCTGCCTGCTCCAACCCCATTCCAAATGCAGAGGAACTCCAAGCTCCTGCCTGAGGCCAAAGACCTCTTCTTCCCTCGGCACCTTTCCCCAGCAGCCTGCTGGCCACAGTCTCTGCCCTGACTCAATGTTTCCCTTCCCTGACTCTGCTGGCTGCCCAGATGAGCTCATGCTGTTAGCTCTGTGGGGGGCAGTGGGGGCCAGACTGGGCTCTAGGGGTAATGAGTATAGGAGGCAGCCAGGATTGGGAAATTGTGGGGTGTGAGGGAGAAAGCTGGGTGAGGGACAAGTTGCACCCTCAGTTGAATTAGAAGTGGGTTCCTCCCCTATCTCCTGGGGATGGAAAACTGAGAGCAAAGTTGAAAAAGCTGAGGAGATGGCAGTGATGAGAAGGGCATTTCTCTAAGCCTATGCTCCCAAAACTATGGTAGGACTACATCATAGTCCTCCAAGCATTAAGTACTCAGGCATTTAGCCTATACATCCTAAGAAATTAACATCACCCCACCCCCCAATTTGAGGCATTCCATCACTTAGCCCTCAGACCTAGGCACTAGCTCCTAATTCCAAACCTCAGCCCTGATGCTTAGATCCCATCATCAAGGCTGGGAGTCTTTTTTCAATGTTTTCTGCCGAGCCATTGAAGTCAGATGATGAAGCATGCTGCCCATCTCCTGACAGAGAGGTGATGGACACAAGGCAGAGTGAGACATGTATTTTTGGATATATCGATATGGAACTTTGTTTGCTTGACTATGTGTATTTGGTTCAAAGGTTTTGTTTTTCTTTCTTTTTTTCTTCTTTTCCATTGGGGGTAGGGTAGAAGAGAAAATAAATTTTTATTAATTGAAAAAAAATGAAGTTACAAGATAGATCCTTGGGCATGTTTTCAAAGTCTTCCCTCCTGGGTTAGTGACTGTGCCTGTGCCAAGCCAAACCTTCAGCATGGCTTTTTTAAAGGAAGGAAGATGATGGAGAAATAAATCTGAGGAGGAAAGATAATTGCTGAGGGGAAGGAACAAGAGGGTCCTGCAGACCTCCCCCTAACCAGGATTCAGGCCTGTCTGGTGTGTTCCTGCTATTCCCACTAGCAAACATAGGAGCAGCAAGCAAGCCTGGAAAACCAAACTGGTCAATGGAGTCTAGACATAACACTAGCAACCCCAGTATTCATGAGATTGGTCCAATTCAGAGCGGGCTCCCTCCCCATGTTTCCAAGAGACTCCAACTGCGGAGACCCCAACTAGTCTCCATACCAGCCAAGCTTGGGAAAGAACTCCAGTTTCATCCCAGGGCAAACAGAAAGAGCTTAGTTACTGATGGGGTCACACCCAAAATGACTCATCCCTAGAGGAGCAGAACAGCTTCCATTTCCTTGGCTGGACTGACTCTAACTTGCCAGATGTGGGACAGCTGTGACCAAGGCTTACGGCTGTTTATTGTCTTCAAGAATGGGGCGATGCTCAGAATAACTCCAAAACCCATGTGGAGAGCTAGAGGACTGTCCTCTAGGGGAAGAAATTCATTCAGTACAAAGCTGTTTTTCCCCTCACTGTGTCCCCAGATTGGTTTCCACTCAACCTTTTGATCAGATATTTTTACTTTTATTCTTAGTATATGTCACATATCATGACAGAAAGGCAAGGTGTTGTGAGGGAAAGAAAGCTAGCCTCAGAGCCAGGAAAACCTGCATTCAAGACCTGCCTTTGACACATATAGTTATGTGACCCTGGACCAGTCATTTAACTCATCAACGCTCTAAGTAACTCTCTAGGACTCTCAGTTGAAGAGACAGCACCAACCTGCATTGATAGAAGGGGTTCCCTGTAGCAATGAATCCCTGGTCCAGTGCCTAGTCTTCCCTGGATTTTTGCAGCCCTTTCACTTTTCAAAGCACATCCAATCAACTGGCCCATTTCAGTTCTAACATAAGGTGTTGGCCTGTAAATTTAAGAATCCCTATGTTGTTAATGAGACAACTTGGGGAGGGGAGTGAATTGACCCAGCTTACCTGAGGTCTTACACATTGTTGCTGGTGGAGCTGGGATGAGAACCCAGGTCTTCTTGGCTCCCAGCAAAGGTCCGATGAGCTCCAAGGCTAGGCCATGGAGGGGCAGGAGGGTCACGACTAACAGGTTTGATGTAGATTCAATTCCTTTTCAGAAACCTTTGCACCCATTAAGGTCCAGTTCCACTTCTACTATTTCTACCAGCAGTGATGTTTCCATCTGAGAGTGGATTGGGGGAAGGGGAGGAGGGAGGCTTGGGGTCTTGTTGGAGAAGGGAAAGGGGAGAGAATTGTCTGGAGCTGAGGGAGAGTGGCCGTGGGGAAGTGAAACTTTCCATTCTCCCTTGTGTAAGCCTACTTTCCACCCCCCTACTCTGAGGCAGGAACTGAAGGCTAGTGTGGAATTGGGGGTGGGGGGTATGTCCTAATAAAGCTCAGTAACTTCTGCAATAAAATCTCTTCCTGAGTCAAAGGATGGTTCTCCCTAAGGCCTTGGGGCCCCTCACCCTCAGCAATTTCCCCAGACTTTATTATGTCTGGGGAATAAAGAGAAGAAAGTAATTTGGGAAGAGGCTTCTTAAGCATCAGCTTGGCAGACAAGCTGATGGGTCAGGACAAGAAGAGAATAACTCAAGCTCTCAATACCCCATACCCTGTCTGATCACAAAGTTCTATTATGATACTAATTGATGTGTAGCAGACTCAGCCCCAACTTTTCTGGACTTTCAGGGCCTTCCAGGGTGATCTTATCAAACTTTCGCCATGGTTTCATAGGGCACTTAGTTGGGTGGAAAACTTTGTGGGCCACTGGGCAGAGAAATTCAGACACTGCCACCCATGTCACTTCTCTGTAATTCAGTTCGATGGGTCTTTCTTGAGTATGCCCTGTGAGCCCAGCATTGCTCTAAGCCCAAGGGAGAGTGGAAGAGTCTTGCTGGTTCTCATGAGTGATATAGAATCACAGGATCATAGAACTAATGTGGAAAGGGATATTGGAGTCAATCTAATCTAACTCCTCATTTCAGATCTATGAAGGTTTAGCGACTTGCCCAAGATCCCACAAATAGTCAAAGGTAGGATTTGAATCCAGGTGCTCTGACGTTCCATCTCTGTGCTTTTACCCAGGCTGTTCCCAACGTGCCCAGAATGTGTTCCCTTCCTCACAGCTGTCTCTTCCTGACCCATTTTGGGGTTTTCCTAGCAAAGATATTGGACTAGTTTATCATTTCATTCTCCAGCTTATTTTACAGATGAGGAAACCGAGACAAACAGGCTTAAGTGACTTGCCCAGGGTCACACAGCTAGTTAAGTGTCTGAGGCCAGATTTGAATCCAGAAAGATGAGTCTTCCTGACTCCAGGCCCAGCATGCTATCCACTGCTGCCCTTAGAAGCCCTAGTTTCTTTCAAAGCTCAGCTCAAACAGGGTCTTCCATATTAGGTCTTTCCTGATCTCCCCAGCTGCTAGTGCCTCGTCCACAAAATTACCTCATATTTATTATGTATCTAGTTATGTGGTTACATGTTGTCTCCCTCTCTCAATAGAAGATAAGCTTTCTGAGGGCAGGGGCTATTACATTTATGATGTATCCCTAGCACTCTGCCCTATTTCTGGCACATAATAGATGCTTAATTAATACTTTTCAGCTGCCTGGTTGACGAAGACAACAGGAGCATAAGACAAAGCCTTGTGCTTGGAGTTTCTAATCCTTAAGGAGACAAGATTGTCACATATATAATAACTGAAGAACACTCTAAGTGGTATATGACAAATAGAATAGAATCAAGTGCCCAAACAGTACTGACTGTCCTGCCAGTGGTCCCAAAAGAGGAGAGATGAGTATGGGTTGCATATTTGGAGAATGGTACTCGAAACAAGGCTATGGGTCACTTTGAGATGGGTGGACAGGAAATCAGAGGGCATTCCAGCCAGGATAAGAGGATGTTAAGGTGGTGGAAAATAGGGGCAGGCATTGGTCTTGGAAATAATGCTGGGAGGCAGTAAGATACAGTGAAAAGAGTCCAAGACTGGGAGTCAGTGTATCTGGGTTCTAGGCTTGGCTCTGCCAATTCACAATTAACTATGTGACCTTAGACAAGCCTCTTATCTTCCCCAGGCCTCAATTTCCTCCTCTGCAAAATGAAGGAATTGGAATTTGGCATAATGCTATACCAAGATAAAATCAAAATGGGTACATGATTTAGATATAAAGACAGATACTATAAGCAAACTAGGAGAGCAAGGAATAGTTTACCTATCAGATCTATGGAGAAAGAAAGAATTTATGGTCAAACAAGAGATACAAAACATTATGAAATGCAAAATGGATGAATTTGATTACATTCAATTGAAAAGCTTTTGCACAGACAAAGCCAATGCATCCAGGATTAGAAGGGAAACAGAAAACTGGGAAACAATTTTTACAACCAGTGTCTCTGATAAAGACCTTATTTCTAAAATATATGAAGAACTGAGTTGAATTTATAAGAATACCAGTCATTCCCAGATTGATCAATGGTCAAAGGATATGAACAGACAGTTTTCAGAGGAAGAAATTAAGATATCTATAGTCATATGAAAAAATGCTCTAAATAACTATTGATTAGAAATCAAAACGACTCTGAGGTGCCACATCACACCTATCAGATTGGCCAACATGACAAAATAGAAAAAGGAATTTGGCACAATGGAAAGAGTACTTTGGGATCAGAAGACCTGGGTTCAAGTCTCAGCTTTGCCACTTACTACAGGCAGACATATACCTATGTGACCCTAGACATGTCACTTAACTTCTCTTCATCTATAAAATAAAGAACTAGTTGACTCCTCAGGTCTCTTCCATCTTTAGATCCATAATTTAGATAGGAATAATGGATAGAGCACTGAGCCTAGGGTCAGGAAGACTTGAGTTCAAATCTAGCCTCAGACACTTACTAGCTATGTGACCCTGAGCCTCAGTTTCCTCATCTGTAAAATGAGGCTAATTCTAGCACCTACCTCTTAGGGTTGTTATGAGAATCAAATGAGATCATAATTGTAAAGCACTTAGCACAGAGTCTGGCACATAGTAAGGGCTATATAAATGTTAGCTATTATTATTATTATTAATTCTGTGATTTATTGAAAAAAAATCTCTTCCAGCTCTGAAGTTCTTTGATTCCTAAGAGCTCACCTTTTTCTTACCCATAGCTCCCTGGAGATGACCTGCTATGACAGTGATGATGCCAACCCCCGCAGTGTGTCCAGCCTCTCCAACCGCTCCTCCCCACTCTCTTGGCGCTACGGACAATCCAGCCCCCGCCTGCAGGCGGGTGATGCACCTTCAGTGGGTGGGAGCTGCCGCTCCGAGGGCCCTCCAGCCTGGTACATGCATGGCGAGAGAGCCCACTATTCTCACACTATGCCTATGCGAAGTCCCAGCAAACTCAGCCACATCTCCCGCCTTGAGCTAGTTGAGTCTTTGGATTCTGATGAGGTTGATCTCAAATCTGGCTATATGAGTGACAGTGACCTCATGGGCAAGACCATGACAGAGGATGACGACATCACCACAGGGTAAGGCTTTTGAGAACATGGCTTAGAAGGGAAAAGAGAGGGCCATCTTTGTTGGCTTGGTAGAGACTGAGATACTTATGAGTTCTTTTAGATTCTTTGCATTTTAACAAGAATGGAGATTTGATCCTCCCCTTTGTTTAGAACCCTGTGGAGCCCTTCCACCAAGTTCTGGGCTATGTATTTGCTAGAAGGAAAAGAAGAATTAGAGACGTCAATAAAATGGGGAGGGGAAAAGAAGGATGGCATTTGTATATGTAGCTTATTCTTTCTGTGTATGGTTGGTATGGTTTTATGGTCTAAGGAAGGCAGAAACTGGACTTTGTGGAGCTAATCAGCCAGTGATGGTGAATCCCTTTTCAAGTTGCAGAGGAGGTACCAACCTGAACTGGTATAGGGAGTTCCTTTTTTCAATGCAAGAACAGCTCCATTTTCTAACCCTGTTACAGCTTATTCTCTGATAAGTTGCTACCTGGACTTCCTATCTTGGTACTCTTCCCTTCCCAACCTTTAAAAGACTCCTCATCTCTCCTTTCTTCCACAGAGACTTCTAAATCTTTTCTCCTTACTGCTCCTTGTCCTTTCCAAGTCATTCTTACACTTAGGGCAAATTCAGTTGAGGGTTGGGACGTAGAAGATCCAGTCATTGTTGGGATGGATTTATTGCAGAAGTCATGGGAGTTAAACACATTGAAGAACTGGGAACTAGGGAACTGAAAGGGAACAGGGGTTGGAATGAAGAAAACTGAAGCCAGGTATTGAACGGATTGAGGAGAAAATGATCTAGAGGTCTATAAATAGCAGCAAAAAGAAGGAATCTGGATAAGATGAAATGAACTTGACCTGTTGGTCAGTCCTTCAGTTGGGTCCAACTCTTCATGACCCCGGACCACAGCACACCAGGCCCTTCTATCCTCCACTATCTCTCCAAGTCTGTCCAAGCTCATGTTCCTTTTTCCCATGACACTATCCATCTCATCCTCTGCCATCCCCTTTTCCTTTTGCCTTTAATCTTTCTCAACCTCAGAGTCTTTTCCAATGAGTCCTGTCTTCTCATTATGTGGCCAAAATATTTAAGCTTCATCTTTAGTATTTGACCTTCCAGTGAATACTCTGAATTAATTTCTATAAGTATTGACTGATTTGATCCCCTTGCTGTCCAAGGGACTCTCAATGTCTTCTCTATCATTCAGCTTTCTTCTCCCCTCCATTCTACACATACTTGTACAGCAGTGAGAATGGATCCCTAATAGAAAATACAGAGTTTCTTTCCTTGGATATCTTTAAAGCTGAGAGAGCTTCCTTTCTGAATGGGACAATTTCACTTGAGTCTTGCTTCAAGGCAGGAGAGAAGACATAATGAATTCTAGATGTCTTCTATAAGCCAAAGATTCTAGGATTTTTATTTATCAGATATGCCTTCTAATCATCAGGCCCACATTTGAAGTATTTCCAGTGGGGTAGGAGCTGTTAATCTTTGCACTCTCCTGGTAAATCTTTCAAGAGCCCAGGATCATTTCCACACTTGTATAACATCCCAGTGATAGGCTATATCTCTGTTGTCCGAGGACCAACCTATCACAATTCTAATAAACTCATCACCAGGGCAAGGAATTTTTTGGCCACAGTAATTCTCAATTCTCAAATAACTAGTAGACCTAAGTTATGGAACAATTACGATCAGAGCTGTTGGGGCAATCATAAATCCTTGAAGAACTGAAGTAAATACTCCTTGTAATAAGCCCATCATCATTTCCTATTACTTATTGACATAGAAGTAATTTTCTGTTCCCATATCCCAGTGCCTTAGTGATGAACACAATTTTAAACATGCTAAAATAATGAAAAAGAAGGAAAGAGAATTAGATCAAAGGAAATACTGATTGACTCTCCAGCTGTAGGAAGACACATACCCTTCTCAATGGGAGTGTTTTCTGACGATTTGCCCAAGAAACTCAAGAAAGAGTCACCAGTTCTATTCTGTGCTCTGTCACAATAAGCGATTAGGATTAGTTACTTCTGTCAACTTCAATTTCTCTCCTAGTAATAGCAGAATAATACTTTTTTCAATTTCACACTCTTTATAAATGAGGTAAGAAATTACTATTTGTCTACATAATATTTACTCATTCATTCATTTTTGTTCACCAAACACATATTTGTTGATCATCTGTGATGTTCAGGGCCCTGTTCTTGTTTACAATTTAACCAAAAGACAATGTAGTCTCTGATTGGTGATTGCCAAAGATATTAGTCTGGGCCCCAGACTACTGTGTTTGGGAGACACCAGTCAGAGACCATGTCACACAAAGTTGAGATGTCAGAGCTAAGACTAAAATAAGTCTAGTGCCCTAACTAGCTGTGTAAAATAGTCATCACCACTTTGAGCCTTGGTTTTCTCATCTGCCAAATGGATGAGTTAGACTAGATGCTTCCTGAGGGCCACCTATGAACTGCAAGAACATTTACTGTCACTTGAGAAACTGGGCAGCTCTTTTCTAGGAACACACATATCATGTGTCCTTCCTAGCCATACGGTTCTCTGAAACTTCTTTTGGCCTCTGAAAGCTAGAAGGCATATCACATTAAACTCACATTTGTATAGAGCTTTACTTGTGGCTTGTAAATCACTTTCCTCCCAGCAGTCCTGAAGTATATAGTGCAAATATTATTCTCTCCTCCTTCCTCCCGTTTTACGAAAGAGTAAGAGTTTATTATGAGAAGAGGAGCTTCAGCTCGTGCAGGTCACCAGTCCCCCCCATCTTACTGCTCTTCCTTTCCACCCTGATCCTGTGATGCCAGCCACCCTCCTGTAATGGGACTCCCCAAATCATGTAGTTCCCTACAAGTCTTTAGCACTAGGAGAAGCCAAAAGTCCCTAGGACCCTCACCAGGTGACTTCCCCACTTGACCCAGGGGCAGGGTAGGGGAATAAAGAAAGGGAACAAGCATTTATTAAGTACCTACTATGTGCCTGACACCATGCTAAATGCTTTACAAATGTTACTTCACTTGATCCTTACAATGGTTCCATAACTTCAGACACTATTGTTGTCACCATTATATAATTGAAGATACTGAGACAGAGGTTAAGTGACTTTCCCAGGGTCACACAGAAAATAGGTGTTAAAGTTCAGATTTGAACTCAAGTCTTCCTGACTCCAGGCCCACTGATCTGTCCATTGATCCACCTAACTGTAAAAGGAAGGTCAGTTATCCAACATTCTCCTCCCATACTCCTTTGCAGGGTTTAGACCTAGTACTAACCCAAGCTCTAAGTCTCAGACTTAAATGTCTAAATAGTCTTCCCTCTTATTCCTTCCCTCTCAGTTCTTTCATTTTCAGCCCCTATTCCTTTAAACTACTGGTCCCTTCTCTTCCAACACCATGAGCCCCACCTTCTGCCCTTTGGCACATAGTGATCCCTGATCATTTGTACATTTCCCTGTCCCAAATCTGTCAGGGCTGAACTGTGGAAAAATGACTCAGACCCAGATGGCAGTTTGGGGAGGAACACAAGTGAAGGAGGGGACCACAACGTTCTAGCTAACTGCTCCCATCCTCCAAGACAGGAGATCCTAAAACACAGATTGGGCTCCAATAATCTCAAATCTTTATCTGGCAGGTCTCCAGACTGCCACCTTGTCCCCTTCTCTGAGATTTGCTGAGATTAAAAGTGATGTAGTGGGTAGAAACAGGAGTTGGAGTCAGAAAGACCTAAGATCACATCCTAGCTGGGTGATTCTTAGCAAATCACTGAACCTCTCTGTTAGCTTCCTCCTCTGTAAAATGGGGTTAATAATAGCACCAACCTTACGGGGTTGTTGTGAGGCTCAAATGAGACTATATATTAAGTATTTTGCAAACTTCAAAGCATTAGGTAAGCGGCAGCTACTGATTATTAATCCCAATGAGAAAGAGAATAAAACCAGCCATGAGGCCTCCTCCCCTGATCTGATCAAAGGTTTTAACCAGAAACTTAGTCTCAGTGACTCCCAGCAGAAAAAGTAACTTCTTTCTGAAGCATTCAGGAGCACCCAAAACAAGTTTTCGCTCCCTGGACTTATTCCGACCCAAGCAGCCTGCTCTCTTCCTTGGCCTTCTGAGACAAATTTGGAGGGATCTGGACCAGGGAAGGTCCAGCCAATTAAGCAGCTTTGAAGCAAAACAACTGACTCACGTATAGGGTTGTTTACTGCCTGTTGACTCTGGGACTGGCCTGACCTTGGATCCTCAGATCAGCCTGGCCAGGAGCCGGACTGGAAAGGAAGCATCCCTGCACACACCATGCACTGAGCTCCTACTATATGCCCAGCCCTCGTATTGAACCAGTAGGAGATGGGCAGAGAAAATAGGCAGCCTTTCTGACAAGGAACACAGTTTCTGCCCTCAGGATATTCTCTGCATGATGAGGAAGGCATGATTTACGCCCTCAGAGAGCTCCTAGTCTAATGGGGGAGAAAGCCTATTCCCTCAGGGAGCTAGCTCCCTATCAATGGGAGTGACAATCTCTGTCTTCAGGAAGCTTCCAATCTGATGGAAAGACAGTCCTTGCACATGTGTAAGCAAACACTCGTGTGCAAAAATCAGGCCTAATAATTGAGGGACCTAAGCACAAAGACTGAACCAATAGAAATTAAATTAAGCTATAGCCCTAGTGTGTTGTGTTCTATGTTCCTTCTGGGAGTATAGCAAAAGTCTCTCTGCCTTTGTCTATAAATTGTTGTATTTCCCTTTATAAAGAAGACATGCTCCTGGCTGGGGAAGGGGGGGGGGGTGTGGAGAGAGAAGCAGAAATCAAGATTTTGTAAATTACTTCCAGTTTTCCCTATTATTTACACAATTTGGGAGCTATTTTGTCTTTGTTCTGACTGGTCTTTGGTTTTAACTTTTTCCATTCCTGGCTTCTCAGACCAAATAATCTATGCACAGGAAACCCAGAGTTCACACTGATGATCCCTTTGTAACCATAAGGATTTTTTTTTAAGAAATATGAATAATTG